AGTTCAACCTTTACTAATAGGTTTTTTAGGAGAATCGCACAAAAGGCCCCTAAAATAGAAAAAAATTATACCTAAGACCTAATACATTTTGAATTATTTCTATAGGCCTAAAGCCCAGATATAAATATGTTTTTTCATGAAAAGAGTTCTCTCTTTTCATTATTTGTATGATCCCTTAGAGACAAGTCAATAAGATTAATCCTACATCCATCAGAAACTCTCTCTCTCTTGTCTTTTCTTTTATTTTCTTGTACTTACTCTAATATGATATCAAAGAGATACTTAATGTAAAAAATAAATCAATCCATAGGAATTTTCTATATGAATCAACAAATGTTATGTAGTGCCCAAAAGGCCAAAACCATTAGACAATTGTAGTGTAAGTCTCAACATGACAACAAGAACATAATGATTTGTCATAAGTAGTTATGAAATCATTAAAAGGTAATTTTTTATTTTTACCTAGCTGACATGCTTGACATGTATTATAGTCAAACAATTTTGAAGAAACAAGTATATTATTTATTAAAAGAACTTATTAAGTTAATGTAAAAAAAAGGGTAGCCTAGTTGATGAAGCCATAGGACGATTGCATCATCAATAACATTAAGACATTAAGCAGAGGTTGTATTTCATTTAATACTAGCAATGGAAATAGAATCACTAAATTGATGCAAATAGTACATGCCTATCTTTTTCAAAACCATAAGTCAGTTGTTGGTTGAGTAGTCCCTAACAAAACATGCATGAGGTCAGAATTCAACACACACTCCATTATTCATAGCAAATTTATGCACAGAGAGAAGATTCTTTTGCATATGCAATATTCTATAGAACTGAAATGTAGCGTTAAGGGTGGGTATACTAGATTGACTAACAATCATAATGCATAATAGATTATTGTTACTTACTTGAACATGTCCCTTTTGTTGAGTTGAATCAATCTCATGAATCTTATGAGCATGATATTATGTTTCTCCTAAGTCAAGATATTAAGCATCTCTTCAATATGGTATCAAAGCCACAACTTCTTTGATAACTCTAATAGTGTTCCTTTCTTTCATCTCAATTTTTTGCTTCATCCTTCAAAATTCTATTTTCATGGCTGTCACTAACCATTTACAAATTCTATTCAGTATCTTAGCATGTTTGCCATACTCATCCTAAAATTGCTTACATTCTAAGTAAGCTAAGTTAGTACATGCATCAACCTTTATTAGCTCATTAGAAGTATGTGTAATAATTACTTTGATATCTAGTAAAGATTGTCAAACATGGGTTACTTATCAAACTTGTTGATCAATTTACTCTGCAAGCTTTTGCATACTTAAATTGGGGTTTAGAATATGATTGGTCAAGTAAAAAACCTAATAGTCACTAAACTAGTGGTTTTTGCACATATTTGGGAGGTAATTCTATTAACATCTAGAAAACAAATTGTTGTCTTTAGATCCTTTATTAAAGTTATATATCAAAGCCTTGTAGATACATGTCATATTCTTAAAGCATTGATAGATGAGTTGAAGTTGGAAAACTTATCAGATATGTTCTAATAGCAAATATTTTCACCAAACCTGCACTTTTTCCTACTTCCACTTATTTGCAAGACATGTTATGAGCCCTTTTATTTAAGATTTTTTTTCATGAAAAGAATATATTTTTTAAAAAATTGATTTTGTAAAATTTTATGAAATAGGTTTAAAATTTTGAAAATGATCAAAATCTAAAAGAAGAAGAAGAAGCATATTTTTAATTAGATAGAAAAGATACTTTAAATAGCTTCTAAAAAAATATGCAATAAATGAGAGAGAATGCCATAAAAATGCAGAGATGGTATAAAATTTTAAAATAATTAAATCATAAATTATTTTTATAAATAGATAACCATAAAGATATCATAAAATGTAAAAATAAATAAATAATAATAAATTTTATTATTTTTACCAAACATAAATTAATATCTAATTTTTATAAAATATCTAAAAAATAATTATTTTTTAAATCTCTAAATCTAAACTATTTAAAAATTATTTATTTTTTAATTTAAACAAATGGACACTACATGTTCTTGATCTCCTCTCGACATCGCAATCAAGCAACCACCTAATTCAGGAAAAAAAACAATAAGAGGATGTTAGAGATATGCAATGGGCTGGAAGTAACCCCAGTCCATTTCGCACTTAAGCCGAAACTGAAGTGAATTTGGTAGCTTGGTTTGCAACTAGTGTATGCCAAAAATTTATCCCAAAAAAAATGTATACCGATGAAAAGTTAGTAACTAATGTGACCTCTTATGAGTTATGATGCTTGTGATAACTATAAGGCTCTGTTTGGTTAGGGGTAAATGGAGGGGAGGGCAGGGGAAGGCAGGGGAGGGGCTCCAGTTCTCTCATTTGGTTTAAAATTTTTAGAGGGGAGGGGAGCCAATTTGGCTCCACTTCCTTTATTTTGGCTCCTCCTAAATTGGGATTTTTAGAGGGGGTTAAATTTGTTGACTAATTTACCCTCATTAATTTTATAAAATTACCATATTGCCTTTAGAAAACAATGAACACAAGCTGGCTTCCTTTTCTCACAGAAGCTCGGTCTGTCTCATCTTATCTGGTCTAGAGTTCTCGCAGTGGGTCTTCTTCTTCACTTTTGGAGCTCTCGCCATGCGTCTGGTCCAGAGTATTTGAAGCCTCATCATGCATCTTCCTCAGTCTATCAAAGCTTCATCGTGCATCGTGCTGTCAGGTCCCTGTTAACCTCTAGAAGTTCATGTTATTTCATCACATTTTCCTTAGATTCTAATCCGTTTTAGTTCAATTGTATATGTTTTTATTGCCCAAATTAGGAAAATGTGCATTTTGTTTTGGGCTTGTGTTCTTGGCTTTAATTTGATATTTTTAGCCTAATTTCATGTATTTTGATTAGAAGCGTTTCTGGAGCTTTGTGGATATTTTTGGAAGGCGTTTGGATGAAGAAATCAAGAGCTAATTGAATGATTTTCGTTAGCTGTAAAAATAGTGCAAAACTGTCAAAGTCGTCCCAAAGTCGTGACTTTCGTTCGCGACTTTCACCGCTATCAGAAAAACGCTGCGTTTCATTTATCAAAAATTAGTTGGTTAGGATACATATAAGCTGAGAGCTCGACCCAGAACGGATTCTTCAGACTTTTAGACACTTTTAGAGCTTGGTTGTGCTAGGGTTTGGGCATTGGAAGAGTTGGGATCAAGAGATTGAAGCTTTGAAGACATTTGGAGCTCATTTTCTTTGGTTTTTCTATTCTTCTTCCCTTTCCTCTCTTGTAATCTGAAATGGGTCCACTTATTTAGTATATTTGTAGCTTGTGGATGATTATGAGTAGCTAAACCCTTTGTTCTAGGATTATTTGGAACCCTTATATGGATTAACACTATATTTCTCCTCTCTTTTTGTGATTAATGATATATGTGTGTTTATTTTACTCTTTCCTTAATGCTTCTACTTGATTGGCCACCATTTAGATGTTAGGTTCACTTAATTGATGCTTGAGAGGGCTAAGTTAAGTGTAGAACTTGGGTAAAATTGTGTAAGAACTTGATATTTGCATGTTGAATGGATGGTTTTGCTAGTAAGATAGAGATATACTTGCTAGCCTTGCATAGCCACATTAGGGTTGGTATTTAAAATTAAGTTTTATTAATTGTAACAAGAGATTGAGCAATTAATTTAACTAAACACTTGTTCATGACTTGAGAGAGCTTGTCCAAGTATTTTTAGAACCCTAGGTTAGCACTTATTTTCATTAAAAGCATTTATAAGAGGAGCTAATTTGGTGTTATGAAATGCAAGGGGGACAATTAATCCTAAGTCTCAATTTGTGTTGGAAGTTTGTGAATCACTCACTTTCTTAATTTTCTCGTGTTAGTTTCATTTGCAAAACCATTTCACCTAACTTTGTGTAGCTCAACTTGATCAAATTTACTTAGTCTTTTGCTTGATCATTGTTTTTGAACAAATCCTCGAGGGAACGATACTTTACTTTCATTATATTACTTGCTACGACCCGTGCACTTGCGGTGAGCAACAGTCCCCTTTCTCAAAGCTCTCACCATGCGTTTGATTTCAGGTCAGATTCTTCCTCTCAGATGCTGGTCTATCTTTGCTTTGAATCAATCTGCTTGATTTGTGTTTGATTTGAGCTTCGTCCTGGTTTTCTTCTTCATTCTTCATTCTTCGTTCTTCGTTCTTTTCTTTCCTGATTTAAGCTTCATTCTTCATTCTTCTTCGTCTTGGTCAGACCCTGTTCTGAGATCTACGATTGTTCTATTTTCTTCAAAGCTTGGAATATATATATCTCTATTTTCTTTGATCTGCGATTGTTCTTTTCTTTTCTCAATGCAATTAGAGAAGCAAGGAATATCTGTCCTTTGAATGTAATATTTGTGCTCGAATTCGTCCCTCATTTTTTAAAATCAGAGTTACAGACACAAGCATGCTTACCGGCAGAGATGTGTGTGTGTGTGTGTGTGTGTGTGTGTGTGTGTGTGTGTGAAGATGAACACTATAAGAACAACATGAAAGTCTTGATTATCGGATCTTTATTACGTTTAATGGCCTCAGATGCTTACATTTTCATGCTGTAACACCCCCTCCTAGTTAGTATTTCATCAGGATTGAAAGTGAATTTACTCAGATACTTATACATGATCATTGTTTAGTGCTTAGATAACTTCAGCAATACTATATATGGTCATTGTTTTGTGCTGATGAAACTAAATCTTTTGCTCTTATTTATGATAATCGTGGCTTGTTTATTGATTTCCATTATTCTTCTTGGTTGCTTTATTAGATGAGCAAGGAATCTGAATATCTTTTACTGGTATAACATTGGTTTGAATTGCGTCAAAGAGCAATAGCTCTTCTTGCTTGTGTCCTTGTAAAAGTAAGTGCAAGTGAGATGTGTTTGAAAGAAATAAGTTACAGTTTGAGTCGCAAGAAAGAATAGTGTGTGATGAAATAATGAGCCAAATTAGTGATTGTCCCTCTAGTCAAAATATCATTAGAATGACTCTTAGAAATTTTTTAGAATTATGTGGTATATTACAAAGAGAGGCTGGCCTGCAACCCACGCGATGGTCAAGTGTGGAAGAAATGGTTGCAAAAACTCTATATATATTGACACACAATGCAAAAAATCGTGAAGTGAATTTTTAGTTTAGGCGTTCTAGTGAGACAATTAGTTACCATTTTCATCAAGTTTTGACAGCTATCATTGACTTAGAAGAAAAATTTCTTCTTCAACTTAATGGCTCAACTATCCCTCCTGAAATTGAAAAAGATAAAAATTCTTCCCATATTTTAAGGATTGTGTCAGTGCTATTGATGGAACACATATACAAGTCAATGTGCCTTCTTTAGATGCTCCTAGATACCGTGGTAGGAAGGAATTTTTGACACAGAATGTGTTAGCAGCATGTACTTTTGATCTAAAGTTCACATATGTGCTCCCTGGATGGGAAGGTACTACATCTGATTCAAGAATCATTAAAAATGCATTAACACGAGAAGATAGGCTTATAATTCCTGAAGGTAAATATTTTACCAATTTTGATAAAGTTTATATTTGGGATTGTAAAATTATTATAGTAATTATTTTCCTTTATGATAAGTAAATATTACCTTATCAATGCTGGATTCATGTTAACAAGAGAACTTATAACACCTTACTGAGGAGTTCGCTATCATTTGAAAGAATATTCAAAATGAAATTATAGAGAGTTATTTAACCTTCGACATGCAAAGTTACGCAATGCCATTGAACGTGCTTTTAGTGTTTTGATTAGCTTTTCATATTGGGATTGGTATTATATGATTATGTTATTATGTGATAGGATGGCACCAAACAATAATAAGGAGATTGTGAACTGGACAAGATTAATAGATGATGCCCTCCTTGATGCTTTCAAGAATGAATATAATGAGGGTTACAAAGTTAATGGCACTTTTACCACTACAACTTATGATAACATATATAACTATTTGAGTGCTTTATTCGGTAAACAAATTAACAAGGAAAAGGTAAAAAATCGATGGAAGATTTTAAAGAGAAACTTTTCAGATGTTTATGACCTTTTCAAAAGTTTTAGTGGGTTCCCTTAGAATCCAATAACTCAAGTATGAGATGCTGAGCCTGAAGTTTGGGATGCATTAATTGAGGTAAATTTCTTACACATGCATTATTCTTTTGTAATATCCTACATATTCATAGCTATATTTGTTTAATGGTCTTTGAAAATGAAAAAGTGTGCATTTGCAATTGAATTGCTTTTGTAATTTCACTTGTTTCAGGCTAAACCTAAAGCAGCATTGTGGAGAACTACTCCTTTTCCAAACTATGAAAAAATGATGATATTATATGGAGTAGATAGAGTTAACGAAGATAAGAGTGAGATAGCATGTGAGTGGAGAAAGAGACATTGTTCTCAGGAAGAAGTCACTGAAACCGTCAATGACATTAACAATATTGTCTCACAAAATAGAGTCACAATTAATGTTGAGCTTGATGGACAAGAAAACTCATCAGGACAAGAAAATTTACCTAACCAAGAGCACTCACCCATTATTAATAGTGTATGTAGCAAGAAGACAAAGAGGGTGTCTAAGGAGAAGGAGGCTAGTCTAAATGAGTTGACAGGAGCAGTATTAGCTGTGGCTAAGGCAATTCAACAAGGAAATGTGATGATAGGATAAAGTTTTAAGAAGGTGCCATAATTGTCAGGTGAAGAAATTTAGAAAATGCTTGAAGAGTGTAAGATTGATGCTGCAAGATTACTTGACATATATTGGTTTCTTATGGCTGATAATGATAGGCTTAGAGCAGCAACTCAATGTCCAGCACCAGTACGGAAGGAAGTGATAATGAGGATGTTTTATGGTTCTAATTAGATGATGACTTTTATTGATAATTTTTGTATGTTTTGTTAGATAAATGCTCAAAATGTGGTTCTTAAGCATGATCAATATGTTAGATGCTATTGACCAATATATTTTGTTATTAATGATGACAATTATTGCTCAAATTTTTATTAAGGACTAGCATTGTCTTGTGCAATTATTGGGGGTATAAAATCATTAGTTTCATTGATTTTTTTCACAAAGTATTGTTTAATATTTAAATTAATTTACTAAATAAGATTATTTAATAGTATTATTTAATTTACTTATTTGGGGTGAAGAAGTAAAAAAAATTTGACAAGATTAGGGTAATTTAAAAAAAATTATACAATTTGAATTTATATGTAAAATAGATTTGTGTGATAAAAGGTTAAAAAAATATTCTTGTACAAAGTATAATGGTAATTTAATTATTACTTCCCTTCCCCTCCCCTCTAATCAAATCAAATAAGATATCTTAAAAATACTCTCCTCCCCTTCTCTCAAACTAAATATAACCTAAAGGTCTAGCTTTGTACGATCTGATGAAAGCGAGTCAATAAGATTAACCATGCATTCATAAAAACTCGCCGTGTCTCATCTTCTATTCCATTTTCCTCTATTTACTCCAATAGGCAATATTTACTGTATTTCAAAATTATTGAACAATTCATCTAGGACCTGTTCGTTTCAATTTTTATATAAAAGATCATTTATTTTTTGAAAATAAAACAATTTCATCTCTAATCTCTTTTTTCAAAATGCATTGAGCACCCTGATGTTAATGGTGGCATAATGTCATATCGAAATAACGTTGCCCTCTGATAAATACTCGGTAATTTAACTGATTTAACTGTTAGTTCAATAAAAAAAATACAGAAAAGGCCCCATAAAATTACAATAAAACTTAAATCAATATTTTTTTAAATAATATTTATTTATAATTTTTTAAAAAAATTTATGTAATTTTTTTAGTCAACTAATAATCATAATAACATTTAATAAAAGGGCAACCTTGTGCCACTTTTGTTTTAAGGTGCCAAATGCATGTTGAAAAAACAAATTCAAGAGAAAATTTGAATTTTAACCCAAAATACTACAACTCAAGGGTATAACTTATTTTAGGCAAATGTATAAAATTCACTTTAATTAGGTATACATGAAGATATATATATATATATATATATGAGTGATCCAATCCAATAGGGAGAATGATAATTAAGATTTAAAATGAAAAATTAATGACAATCAAATCTTCAATAAAATTTTTTTAAAAAAATAAAAAATATCTATTCAAATAATTATAAATTTATAGGTACAGTTGTTAATAAAATATTTAAATTATAAATACAACCCTCAATTTACAATTAAAATTCTTATATATAATTGTCTAAATTAATAGTTGTAACTGTTTTTTTCAAAAAATGTTATCAGGGACATATATGTTACTAAATCTCTTTTTAAAACTTTGATGTAATTCACCAATTCAAGATTTAAGAATCCGGACTGGTACAGCTTCTTATAATTTTTATATGAAAAAGTAATAATATAAAGATTACCTGATTAGCTATTCTCTAAATACACAATGGTAGAGGAAAGTACAACAGGGGCGACCTGAGAACACATGATCTGTATCTCAGAGACAAAATTGAGAATCTTCATCATCATGTGGTCTCAGAACGCCCCTGTAGAACTCCTCCACCTTCTTCTTCCTTCTTTGTCTTCGTCTGCAGAGAATTATAGATATTTGAATCTGAGATGAAATTGAGATCCCCAGAGTCTCTGCTCTGTTTATATCATGCACACGTTTGAAATATAACTTGTCTTGTGTGGTACTTCTCCTTCTTCTTCATGTACTACACACCTTGAAGTACTACTACTCCTACTTCATCCTTGCCACACAAATTAAAACCTTCGGTTATCAATAAGGAAAAAGAAAGAAAAAGAAATTAAAACCTTCGTGCGTGTTTTGCCGGAGTACGACTTTGTACTGCCAACCTGTACATTGTTTCTTGTACTACTAATAATTTCCATTCCAATTTTCGTCTTCGGTCAACTTCTTTAGATTACAGGCGAAAAAATATCTTTATGATAGAAGAAGAAAGAGAAAATTACAATCAAGAACCACTCAACGTAATTAATTGCTCTACAGAATTAAATAATTTTGATATTATTTTGTAAAATCAAAAGTCCTACACATAATTAAAATTTATTGTAAAAGACAAAACTATCTTTTAGATATATATATATATATATATATATTTTTATATATTTGTTGTGATAGAAGAATTGATTGTTGTTAAAATTAAAATTAATTTTTTTTCTAATGGAAACTTGTTGATTAAATTATAATAATTCATCTCTATCAAGTTAATATTTTGAAGTTATCAATGAACGAATTAATTGTTGTTAAAATGTAAATAAAACTTTTTTTCCAAATAGTGACTTATTCATTAAATTATGATACTTGTTCTTCTTTACTATGAAATTAATTTTTTGGAGTTGTTAATAAAAAAATTATTATTATTAAAATAAAAATGAGATTTTTTTTTTTCAAATGAAGACATGTTCACTAAATTATAACATTTATTCTTCTTCACCACTAAATTAATTTGTTGGAATTGTTAATAAGGGAGCTTGTTATTGTTAAAATAAAAACTTTTTTTTTGAATGAAGACTTGTTATTAAAAGAGTAAATATGCATGACTTCTTTCATAATAAATTTTAATTACGTGTAGGTCATTTGATTCTACAGAATAATATCAAAATTATTTGATCCTGTAAAATACTTAATTGTATCCAATGATTTTTAATTGTAATTTTTTCAAAAAGAAAGTTCCTTGATTAGGAGATCTCTCTCGAGAATTAATTGAGACAAGTGACTCCCGTTCTATTTGGTTTTATTTTTTGTACATGGACTGTGTCAGATTCAGATATTATTGGACTCAGGTAGGGGTAACTCTGTCAAATGAGTTTTTGTACATTCACCCAAACTTGCATTCAAGATAGACGAAGCAGGAGCCTGATGAGCTTAATCAGGTCCGAATCCAACGGTCCAAGTTTTGACTTGTTTTACATTTATGCTAGAGCCCAATGAATATTTGTTTTCATATGTCAGCCCAAAAAAATTTTAAGATTGGGCTCAATCCGTAAAATCTTTTTCGGACTAGAATTTCTATTGCATTTAAATTTTTTGCCCAAGCCCAACATATATTCATTTACTTGAATTATTTTTGTTTGCACAAAAATATCTTGTTGATGAACAACTTATAAATAGTATTTCTGTAAACTCTTTTTGAGTTGGAAGACATTTACTTACTTTTCCCAAAGACATGACTCACCTTTTTTTTTTTACCAAAAAAGAGAAAAAATGTTTCGGTTTTAATGTATGTTTTCTGTATGTTTGGTCCCATGAAGTATCAATTAGCTAAGAAAGTTGGAGCCTTCGAAACTTTAAAACTTTTCAAAATAGTATTTGATGTTATTAAGAAAACTGCTTTCAAGGACCTTTATTCAAAGAAATTTATGTTAAGAAAATTTCTAAATTATCATTATTCACAAAGATTACGGTTATTAAATTTTATGAGATTTTGTAATTTCGGAATTAAAAGTTCCTTGTACAATAATTTTTTTAAAGCATTTAATAAATTAATTTAAATTATATAATATACCCATACTTAAATTACCTAAATTTTTTATAATCAAAAATGGAAAAAATTACAAACAGATCTCATATAAAAAATTATTTATAAATAAGCTTTATAAATTTGTGAAAACGCACTCAAGTTTCATTGGATTTAGTTTTAATTAATTTATCATATGAAATGATATAAATGTCCATGAACTGTATCCATTTGATTGACATTGACTAGCCATCATGCAGTTGTTGTCCAGCATAGGCCGATAATCGATCAACGTCAGTTAAAGGGGTGGGAGTTAAAAGATATTTATATTATTTTACATGATAAATTAATTATAATTAAATCTCATGAGATCTAGATATATTTTACAAATTCATTAAACTTATTTATAAATAAATTTTTTATTGGTGATTTATTTATAATTTTTTTTTAAAAAAATGGTACTATGCCTCAGAGGAGTTACGTACATTTTCCCTCCCTTTTGATGGCTGGTCAATATGAGATTATATAGAGAAAAAGTCATCAAATTATTTTTTATCGGAAACAATTCAAGAGCCAATAGGGTAAGGTCGTAATCTTATGATTAAATATAAGAAATAAAATTTATTTGAGTGAGACAAAATGCACAAGACGTAATGATGCAAAAATCCAAGGAGTAAATCCGTTGCTTTTCACTCTTTTTGCATGTGAAGGTTCATCATTTGGGTAAGTGAGAAGAGAAGAAGGGGTACTGCTTTTAATTAATATGGTTCCACATGAACTCACAATCGCAAGATTTGTGCCACAGATCATGCATTTAAATTTATATTTATACAGAACCAAAGAGTATTGATTCAACTAGTTAAAATAATTGAATCAGCTAATTTTATCATTCTGAGTCTGAGTTTTATATGCAGTTATATTAAATAAAAATATTAAAAATATTTTTAAAATATTTTGAGGTTGCTGTTAATAATAACAATCTCACATAACAAGATTCAGATTAGTTTAAAACTCTGGCGGGCTTTTTATGAGCTCTATGAAAAAAAATAGAGATCTTTTAAATATAACACTAGATAGCCACTTCTCATCATATATTTAGAGAAATTAATGAATACACTGATTGACTTGCTCACATTATTAACCGTGTTGTGAAATGTTAAACATAACAGTTAACAATTTTACATGATCCACCTATTAGATAGATGAACATTCCGAGCTCTAATTTAATATAGTTTTATTGTCACAACTCACAAATGACTTCGATCATGGCATTGTATGTTTAAAAAAAAAAAAAGAGGTGGTTTCAAATCAATATTATTTTAATTAATGATATCAATATGATACATCAAAATCAGAACCCCACCCAGAAAAATATGAACTAGGTCCATGTCCCCTAAAGAACTGACCTGGTTGAGTTATTAGTCACCCTAAACAATAATTACCACCAAAGTAAATAGGCCATGCTTCCTAATGATGCTCATGCAACTTAATTAACACAATACATTTGTTAGTTTAAGGAAAAATTATGAATAGGTCTCGTACAATAAACTTATTTATAAATAAGTTTCACGAAATTCAGAAACTATGTATAACGAAATTTTTTAGAATTTGAGTATAATTTGTGGTTGGGGTACAAAGATAATACTATCCTAATTAATTTAATTTTCACTTACAATTATAGCTTTATAATTTACAAGTAAAAATTGTAATTCACCCAGAGTGGCTAACAAATAATAACTACGTGAGCTATCAAAAAATAAATAATAATAATAATAACTACGTTAGCTCATTTTAGTTATCACACTAAAGAGCCCAAATTCAGTGTTCATTGCTTGATGAGAATTGTAATATTTATTATTACGATGAAATGAAGAAAACTTATATACTTAGATTTATACACCTAAAGTATTTGTATTCAATTAAATTAAAACATGTGTATTTTTTATAGATTATTTTTTTATAATAAATTCTTGTTATTAATTAAATTAATACATTAAGATTTACATGTTATGATTTGTTTTGATATAGGTATATTAAGTATATAAGGCTAAATACATAAGTCTTGCCCTGATGAAATTTAAACTGTTCAAATTAAATTTGGATGGTTTATAAATTTTTTAATTTAAATGACAAGAAATATTTTTATGTTAGATTATATATATAATTAAAAAATAAAAATGTTAGATTATGTATATAATTAAAAATAGATGGTTCAAATTTAACGTAAAAATTGAATCTCACAATAGAAAGGGAGAATATTTTTTTTTCACATGAATCAAGGCAAAAAATATATAACGTATCCATACTGACGACTTTATGATTTAGTGGCATGAAAGCTTCCTGTAAATGAAAAGTTATAAATTCAATCCTACTTATAATTTTATGCTGTTAGTGCTTACCTTTTTAATTATAAAAAAAAAAAGCATATAATGTATTCATGTTATCATTATTCCAACCTGCTTGTGTCCAGACATATAATATAAGGAATTCATATGAATAAACAGGAAGGCAATAGTTCCAAAGGTTGATTATTAATTCAGTCCACAAAAAATTTTGATATTATGTTTACCAAGAAAAAATTGATATTATGTTGAAGAATCAAACTATTCGTGGAATTATAAACTAAAAATATAGCCAAAATGAGTTTTTGTGTGTATATATATATGTATCTTCTAATACCATTTGAATATGATCATTGATCAATGTCATAATTTCAAGTTTTTAACAAAACAGTTTCACACACACACATTCAGGATTCAGCCACTCGATTGACGATCATCATCTTCTCGAACGTCAAAGGGAGAAATGATGCCATGTACCATGTATGGACAAAGTTGTAAGCTTAATTAATTTAATTAATTAGTTATAAAATTTTATCTCCTTTTTGTAAATTAATCAGATGATTAACCTGTTCTGTTATGCCACTTTTTCTTTGATAATATTATGATCCTCATACCTCACATGCTATGCATATAGATTTGTGCTGATGATAAGAGACAAATCTTAGAAATTAAAAGGCATGCAGTGTGGGTCACGTGGACATGGCCAAAGCCAGCTTGCTACCTCATGTGGTAAAGAATATATATATATATATATATATATATAGTGATATTATAGTAATTAATTAAGAAATTAAATAGAATCTTCTCATTATTGAATTTATGTGTTTTGGACCCTTCGGATTATAATCTTAACATGCAGTGATTAAGGCTCCACTAGTGCCTTAATT